ATAAACCGATACCATGATATCATACAAGCCAAAGTGGGATTTGATATTATCTATGGCTTGTTTGAAACTTATATATCCAAGTTATCTTTTATTAGCACATTATTTGCTGGGGATACTGTGTTGTCTTAATATTTTATACTTAAATTGTAGCAAATAGTAGGTTACCAACCTTTTAGTCATCAAGTTGAGCTTAAGGTGTTTAAAACAATAGCAAAATGGAACGGTCACTAAATACAATAGCGGCACCTTAACTACCATGGTTTTGAACAGCGTGTGCAGTTTGATGTTCAAATACTTTCACAGTGTATATGTAATAGCAAGCTGTGCGCCTGCATTTTGCAGGGCAGTTACACTGGCTACAAATAGAAGTGTCCAAATTTACTTGAAAACGGACTTACCTCCAGATCTGTCAGGGGGCTCACTTGGCGCAGGGCGTTGCAACCCGGAGCCCAGTGCAAAGACACCGTAACCATCCGGATCTAAATCTTCGTAATCTCTGTCCGAATCTTCATCTCTTTCTACCACTTCTTTCTTCTCTTTGTCTCCCGTGCTGATGTGGCGAGGTGGGAGTTCATTTGGTGCGGCACGTTGCAGCCCAGAACCCAATGCAAAGATACTGTATCCGTCTGGATCCAAATCTTCGTAATCTCTGTCCGAATCGTCATCTTTTTCGACTACTTCTTGCTTCTCTTTGTCTCCCTTGCTGTCAGATTCCCCCTCCACTTGTATCTTTACATTGTCTCCCTTGCCTGGACGGCGAGAAGTTTTTCTTGGTAAAGGCGGCGGGACGTCTCTTCCATCCATATCTTCAAGACGGTGTATCAACGTTGCATTACGCGCCTCCATCCATTTCTATTGTAGTCTCATACTCTTTGAAAAGCAGAAATTGCTGTTGGAAAAAGCGATATATAAAGTCAGGAATTGTTGGGAGAATAAGATATTCAATTTTACTATTTTTTAGATCATTGAATTTTCAAATCAGCTTTGTCTGATAATTGCCTTTTTTTTGCAAATCACGATTGATTTGCTGTCCTTCCCCAAAAGAGAATTGATATTATCAATAATATGTTTATATGCACACACAGGCCCGGAGTGTACATCTTAATTGTAAGGGGACGAGAGCGTAGAACGATTTATTAAAATATCGGCGTACGTGTACTGTGCTTCTTTAAAAGCCAGAAAATAATCGTTTTTTTTTGGAGCGCCATGTCTAAAAACCATCATTTAACGTAACACGATAACATTAATTATGTAAAAACGACGATTTCATTTTATTTTTATTTCATTTTATTAAATTTATTAGTCCATAATATTTACTTTCAAATATCTTATGGTTAGCCCAAAAATTTCGTCTTTCAACCCGATACGAACCCGTCTAGTAACTGAAAAGAATACCCTAGCAACAGACTACAATGATGTGTCGTTTGCAAGGATATATTTAACCCCAACAAACAACACATTTAAAAATGTAATATATTGTAACTACATACGTTGAATTAAAATCTACGTAATAGTGTATAGGGGCGATGCTCATCTTTGCTCTGTTGCAGTGCAGTGCAGGGCCATTACAAAGAGGACTAGTGCATTGGTAGTGTTGTGTGAAAACTCCCATACTGTTTATGATAAGCATTAAGTAAATAAAGCAGTATGTAACGTGTTTAAACTCTTTGGTATTACCAGGCATCGCCATACAAGACAGGGAGGTAAGTCACAAATAAACACTAAAATAATTTATGATAAAAAAAAAGTAATACTGTAAATACCTTTAAGCTAGTCTGACTGCATGTTGACAGCGTGTAAGAGAAAAGGTAAAAGGTAAAATATAAAGACGTGTTAGTTCATATGCATGTTTTTTTTTTAAATTAGTCTCACACTGTAGCTATTCACACCACCTTATTTGGAGTTCTTGCTCTGCGGCTTCATATTATACTAGGAACGATACATAGGTATGGTAAGATTATTTGCATTTCAAAATGGGAGAGAATGTAAACTTTTTTTGCCATCATATAGAAAACAAATTACCTGATTCAGAACCGTCAACCCAAAAATGAGTATGTGGACGACCTATTTGTCCTGTTATAGGTAAGAAGGCCTTGTTATCTTGACATGGAGGAAAGGGAGAAGGAGGAAAAAATGGACAGAAGAAATGACGAATCGGACAGTGAATACGAAGACATGGATCCACATGGCGAAAGCATCTTTGCATTGAGGTCTGAGGCTGAAGAACAGGGTGATGAAGGTAAGGATTCTGTAAATGTCCTACCAACACCAGGTCAGTCAAAACTGACGCATAGGAAATATGAAAACGTAGATCCGCATGGCGAAAGTATCCTTGAATTAGGTTTTGATCCAGAAAAACAGGGTGATGAAGATGAGGATGATGTAAATGCCCTACCAACACCAGGTCAGTCAACAAAACTGACGCCAAAGAAATATGAAGACGTAGATCCACATGGCGAAAGCATCTTTGCATTGAGGTCTGAGGCTGAAAAACAGGATGATGAAGATAAAGACTGACGTGTAAATGTCCTACCAACACCATTGCAGTCAATACAACTGACGCCAATAAAGTATGAGGACTTACATCCACAAGACGAAAGTACCTTTGCATCGAGGTCTGATGCTGAACAACAGGATGAAGGAGGAAATAATGATACGGTAAGGCTTGGAGACGTGGATTTAGAGGGTGGCAATGAAAGTGTAAAACTGGGCTCTGGGTTAAAACGCACTTCGACGCTTCGGCATCTTGACATGGGAGACCATGTGGTGGTCTACCCTGAGGTCAATGAAGAGCCTAATTCTTACACACATGACGCACCTGATGGTAGCAGCGGAGACCAAGGCAGTGATGCACCTGGCTTTTGTCACAAAGTTAGAGGTATGTCATTTCCATGTATTCTATGTATAAATGCATATGCGCTCAATTTACTTCCTGTTTCTTCGCGCGCGTGTGCCTTTACGGAGGGTTTATAGTGTGCTTTAATAGAAGATTTTATGCAATGCCATTGATTATAAGTATGAATTTACCATTGGTATTAGTATAGTTTGGATAAAAGGAATGTTCCTTTTTTAAAGAAAACAAAACTTGGATGCTAGGTGTCTATGTATATTGTTTTGAATGTTTATGGTAACGTCAGTGCGCACGTGCCTCTATGTGTGTGTGTGTGTGTGTGTGTGTGTGTGTGTATGTAAGTGGCTATGTGGTATGTGGGCATGTCTTTGAAATAATTGACCTGGAAGTAATTGCATTTTCTAAAACACCCATACCTCTTCTTTCCACCTACACTACACCTGCTACAAAACAAAACATAATATACAATAACAATTCTAATTCTTGCAATTTTAAAGTAATTTTGTGAATTATTAACTTTATTCCATGCTATAGAATTGTGTAATAAATTAAAATCTGCAAAAATTTGGTGGTTTATACTGGGTTGTGGACTTCTGGTGGTAGCGTCGATTTTCATCGCTGAAGGTTTTTACATCTGAGTAATTGCAGTAGTATTAATAAGCCTATTGTACAGTTTTGTTGCACAGTTGAATGTTAAACAACGTTCTCAACGATAGTGAATGCTGTCTAAAACATCTTCAGAGAATTCATCAAGTTGCTTGGCCAATTTTGCATTGTGTACATATTGCTCTGGATTTCATTTGATTTTTGATTTGAAAAAAAATACTGTTACAATAGCAAAATTAATGTATTGTGCTAGTCATTGGTCACACGACTACTTATCACAACCTATTTTTATGTTTGCCACGATGCATGTCGAATGCGCACGGTTATTACTAGTAAGAGAATACGGCTTTCTGTTTTTAGGTGTATATTTTCACGATCTGTGGTGTAGAATTTTAAAGATGATAACATATATGCAATCTTTAAATGATAAACCAGTTATTTTGCTTCATGTACACATGTACACGAAATTTTTGGATCCTATTGACCTTAGCTGCAGTTACCAACTCCAGCTACTAGTATTTATTGCTTGCCTTGTTAGGTGTTTGAATACTATAATGACAATCATGTGATACCCCAATGCTTAAACACCAACCTTGGTGCTGAAGTACCCTTCCCAAGCATATACTATCATGTACAATGAATGACCTTGGTGCTAAAGTATTTTCCCCCACCATGTACCATCCTGTACCACCCCTGCCTGACCTTGGTGCAAAAGTACCTCCCCCAACCCTGTAATATCCTGTACCTTCCCCACCCTGTGCTATCTTGCACCGCCCCTATGATCTGTGAACGTGTGACTTCTCGTACTTGGAATTTAATATCATCTTTAGACATTGTTTTGATGTTTTATGGTATTGGTCTCGCCGTGGCCTGTTCCATGTACACTTTACAAATCCTAGGTGGGCACGTTGTTTGCCTTTAAGATACAATACCATGGCTGTATTTGTTTGGCATGCTAATGCACCGATTAAAACGTGATACACCGAATGATACAAGCTGTTTCCATCACGTAAAGGTATGTCAGATTGTGCTGTAATGTCTTTCACGATAATGATAATACCAATTGATGGGAACTGCCAGTATTTTACATTTATACCATTTCAGGTACAGGCGAGGAATACAAGTAGTAGTAATGTCCATAAATTAGCAGGACTTCAAATACTAGTATTAACCCTATTCAAACCAGGATTTTTTGTCAACCTAGACAAGGAAGGGGGTTTGAAGCTCGAGCCCAAAAACTCCACCAAAGGTTTGGAGCCAATTAGCAAAATATTTCTCTAATATTTCTGTCATTATGACGCCATTCATGTGATTTTTTTAAAACCGTAAAATGTTTTTTTCCCGTAAACCTTGCAATACTTTAACATAAATTTCATGACAGAATATTGAGGTCTGCACAGACTTATGTTTACCAAGGCATCAACACGTCAAAATAACGTCATGCATATTGCATATTCAGGATCGATCCGCCATCTTGAATCGTCAATCTTTGAAGGGAGAGAATGTAGTCACATTTTCTTCAAATTTCTGGTTTTACCATCAGATAGAAATGAAGTTGCCTAATTCAAGACTGTCGCCATAAAACACGAAGCTGTGAACGATCTATTTCGCCCCGTTATTGGTAAGAAAGTCTCGTCATCTTGACATGGAGAGAAAGGGGAAGCAACCAATGTACAGAAGGAATGAAGAATCAGACTGTGAGTACGAAGGCATGGATTCACATGGGGAAAGTATTTTTGCATTGGGTTCTAAGCCACAAAAACAGAATGCTGAAGATAAGGATGATACAGATGTCCCACCACCGTTGCCGGCAAAACCACAGTCGCCAAGGAAGTATGAAGACGTAGATCCACATGGCGAAAGTATCTTTGCATTGAGGTCTGAGGCTGAGAAACACGTTGATGACGATGAGGATGATACAAATGCCCTACCACCGTTGCCAAAACGACTATCACCAAGGAAATATGAAGATGTAGATCCACATGGCGAAAGTATCTTTGCATTGAGGTCTGAGGTTAAAAAACAGGATGATGACAATACGGATGATACAAATGTCCCACCACCGTTGCCAAAACGACTTTCGTCAAGGAAATATGAAGATGTAGATCCACATGGCGAAAGTATCTTTGCATTGAGGTCTGAGGCTGAACAACAGGATGAAAAAGATAAGGATGATACAGTAAGGGACATAAGTCTTGGAGGCGTGGATTTAGACGATGGTAGTAAAAGTGTAAAACTGGGCTCTGGGTTAAAACGCACTTCGACGCTTCGGCATCTTGACATGGGAGACCATGTGGTGGTCTACCCTGAGGTCAATGAAGAGCCGTGCCCATATAGCTCCTACACAGATGACACACCCGATGGTAGCAACGGAGATCAAGAAAGTGATGCACCTGGCTTTTGTCACAAAATTAGAGGTATGTAATTTCCATGTATTTTATTGGGCACATGTACAAAATCAATATAATGCATACATGATTAAGAACACTTTGCCTCTCTAAATAAACACTTCCTGCAGTTTAGAAAAGCTGCCACGTATGTCATTTAACAAATGATTGAATGCACACAAAAAAAACCAAAAAAAACAGAATATACAAACGTATAGCGGATCCAACGATAAATGATTAATGTAACCAAATATCACCAAATATGATATATACATATATCTATGAAATAGATAAATAAAAACGGGCTAAAGCAACGATACAAAATAATGCCAAATTGTATAAAGAAAACAAACGGAACAACTTCAAATGAATTACAGAAATTAATTCAAAACAATTGTACTGAATAAACTGATCAAAATAACAAGGCACCTAAAACAATATGATACAGAAAAAGACAAAGAAAAGGGATAAAGAAATGAAATATTTTGTACCAGATCGTGCCAATCTACTGTATTTTAGTGCCAATTTGTTTTTTCTATATGCTATTACATATATGTGTTCAGATCTATAATGTGACTTAATGTTTGGTTTGATAATAAGAGCTTTTTCCATTTATTATGAGTAAGAATTTACCGTTTTGTATTGGTAAAGGGATGATTTTCTTTAAAGAAAACAAAAATGGATTTAAAGTCTCTATTTATACTGTTTTGTTACCTTCGCCAGAAGGTTAATGTTTATGGTAGCGTCTGTACGCATGATGTCTGTGTGTGTGTATGTAAGTGTCTATGCGGTATGTGGGCATACCTTGATAAGACCTTGAAATAATTGCATTTTCCTAATTACCCATATCACTCCTTTCCATCTAGGCTATACCTGCATGCATGCTACCAAACAAAACATAATTTGCTCATTATCACCAGTAAATTTTTAACAAATAATAATTTAATTTTTGCGATTTTAATGTACTTTGTGAAGTATTGATTTTTATACCATGCTATAGAATCCTGTCGTGGCGTCGGTGGCGCTTTGAGAAAGGCACTTTACACGACTCCCCTACCTTTACGGTGGAGTGACGCCCGCCGAGCCTCTTAGGCTAATCTGTCTGTCTGGGTGCCAAAAACACACTACGGATTTGGTGCGCTGATGTGACATCAGCACATTGGCCACTGAGAGCCGTTAAATTTATTTTATTTTCTATAGAATTCTGGAATAAAATAAAATGTGGAAAAATGTGGTGGCTCATTTTGGTTTGTGGACTTCTGGTGGTAGCCTCAATTTTCATCGCCGAAGGTTTGTCTCCTGGCATCCTCATACAGGTAGGCAAACATCTTTATTATTTATTTATTTATTTATTTATTTCATCTTAGGACGGCTGGGTAACCCCATTCAGCTTACATTAGCTGTTTTCCAAGGGGGCCCAGCAAAATTACACAAGACATTGTCACATACAGTAAGACAACATACAGTAAACATAAAAGTCCGATGCATCAAAACAGAGTCATAGTCCTATACTAAAAGTCCTAGCCGTTCAAAGGTCAAAAACACGAAAATCAAGGAATGGAGGTCAGGTTTCATGTGACATATGTTTCAAGCCTGCTTTAAACTAAGAAAGTGTAGGTACATGTCTTTCTGATACAGACGTGATGTCTTGAATGGCTTAGCTTGCAAGTTTATAAACACAACGACTACATGAGTATTGAAATATAGATATAATGGACTAACCTACTTACGTAAAGATCTATTTTCTCCAAATTCTTCTCCTGCTTTGACCTCATGATATGATTTTTTTTTACAAAGTAGCAAGACATTATTAACTTTACTTAGAAAGTCTAAAATTGCCAACCTGTTTATAGGATGGTCACGGCTTGGCAATCGGTAAAAAGCCAGAGAAGCCACGTAATCCATGGTGGGCAACGTTCCCGAAGGCCAACAGGTCGAACGTTGCATATCTAGCTACAACTGCATCTTTCTCCAAACCTGGTACTGCGTGGCAGACGTGGTTTTATGAGAACAACAACTCAACTGTCAACATCAGTTTGACCACGTTGTCTCCACCTTGGGAATGGAACTCAACTGATCCATATGCAGATGTCACTACAGATGACAAACCCTTACCAGTAACCAACACATTCCTATCAACCACAGGTAAGGCCAATTGATTTATATGGTAATCAAGTACAAGTATTTGCTCATCATATTTTCATTATTATCTGTGCGGCAGGAAGCCTTGTCAACGACCTTAACTATTCGTGTTTCCTCACGACCATGCATTGTAGACAAGTGTATCATGGATCCTTGTCTGCATGGGTACTGTGTGAACAAAGATGGCGGATACAACTGTACCTGCTCACCTGGATGGACTGGACAGAACTGTCACCAAGGTGAGATCCTTTTGTGGACACTATTAAAGAAAAGTATTTATGCTGTTATCTGTTTTCAGCATGTATCCATTCAGTTTAGCTACACTGCTGTACATTTCTTTCATATACACAGACATCAATGAGTGCACCAGCAAACCATGTCAACACGGAACCTGTGTGAACAAAGAAGGTGGATACAACTGTACCTGCTCACCTGGATGGACTGGACAGAACTGTCAGGAAGGTTCGTTCCCTTTCTCTACAGTATGCAAAAGTGCGTGTTAACTTTGTATTTTCAATCATCTACAATTGCGTACTACCTTACGCTTACTGTTTTTTCCAGCCTGTCAATATGCAGATGTCACTACAGTTGATGAACCCATACCAGTAACCACCACACCCCTATCTACAACAGGTACGGCCAATTAATTTTCTTGTTCATCTAGTAAGGTATTTGTTTATTATATTTTCTCTTTTGTCATTGCGACAGGAAACCTCCTCAAACAGTCCATCTTATAACCATTGACTTTTGCTTACAAGCAGCCCATGGATGCCAGAGTGGGTGGGAAGAATATCAGAACAACAACCACTGCTACAAGTTATTTACGGAGCTTGTCAGCTGGTCTGCAGCGCGCTCTATATGTAAACAGCACCGTGCACAGCTGGCTTCAATCAAAGATGAAAGGGAAAACAACTTCGTCACTTACAGAGTCATTTATAAAGGTGGGTTTGTTGATTTATTGGTGCACATATTATATGCTTTCAAAAATTGTATTGAACACTTATATATTGTATATTGTATTAAATGAAGTGTAATTTACTTTGGGATTATTGTAGATCATACAATTGCCATAATAATAGCAATACCAATGACAGAAATAGTATATTTAATTGTTTGCTACTAGATAAACCATGTATCCATCTCTTTTCACGTTTACAACTAAGGAAGAATAAAAGTTAAACCTGACATATTAGTATACATAGTAGCAATTATAGATCACACACTCAAATCACTGCACCTCGAACTGCTTTTGGGCCTGTGCTTGTAAGATCATAAAAGTACAATAAAGCTATTCTATTTTATAACATATAAAAGGTTATTCTAATTCAAGGTTCAATGACATTTACTGCTGTGTTGTTCGACTTCCATACAGTATTATTTGAGATAGGAGTTATAGATCTTACTATAATCAGCCTGATAGTAAATTTCTTTCACGGAGATAGCACAAAATTGCCAGGATGGAAAAGGGTCATCTTACCGGGGAACGGTCGCTTTGACCGAAACAGGCAAGACTTGTCAGCGCTGGGACAGTCAGAAGCCCCATGGGCACCCCCAGATCACTCCTGCTAAGTGCCCATTCTCCGGACTAGAGCAGAACTACTGCCGGAACCCTGACAACGAGGACGGAGTTTGGTGCTACACCACGGATCCCAGTAAGAGATGGGAATACTGTGACGTGCCAAGATGTGGTGAGGTTTTTTATGTAATTAATCCTGGCATGCCAATTCTATTACGTGATTCTTAGACTCATTCTCAGAATAATGCCACACAAAATTAAATCTGTTGTTCTCTATTTTCATGGTTTTACCAAAGGGACATTATGCAAACAAAAGGCCAAATACTAGATATCTCACAAATAGTTGTAAAATCAAATTCTCTACCCCTGTATATTTGTTATCTTACTTCAAAGGTAAATGAGTCTCATAGTATGTTTGTTTTTATATAGGTCTAGAGCAGATGCCATACTTTGTACGCACCTAGTGTAATTCGTGAACAGCTTAAGTTCGTAATTTCTTTGCTGCGAAACAGGAGAACATAAGTTGATCTGGCTTGGACTGCACGGCATTCATAAAGGTGATTCAGCATGGGCAGACGGAGAACAGCTAGCCTACACCAACTGGGCTCCAAACCAACCTAAAATCCGTTGGCAGGATAAGTGGTTAATTTGGAGTACTCAGAGGGACTACTGCGCTAGTGTATACTATGAGGTGTGTTGTTTATTTTACATAACCAGTTTTAGGCGTAACACATCATAGTCAGTGTTTATGTTAATTATTTTTCCACATATATAAGGAGATTTAAATTTGATTTATTTGCTATCACACAATTTTGGTAATTTATTTGTTAAAAATATCAAAGAACTTGTTTTAATGTTCAAATGTCTCTACAGATAGACATAATTGATTATTATTATTTCCATGCTCTGCATTATTTTCCGTTAGTATTGTATTATTAGCTGGGTGGTTCAATTTCTTTTAATGTGAAAAAAAAAACTGTTGCAACGGTACAGAAAGCATCAGCCATCCATTGTTCTTCTTTCAATCAGTATAAGTGTCTACAATTTTTCCTCCAGATTTACATATTTTCATTGCTGTCCAGTGTAGTAAATTTGTATTTTAGAAAACCACAATGATGTAAAGACATAAAGACTAACATCAACGTTGTAACCTTTGTGATTTGTTGAACAGACAACTTCTGAAGGACGAAGAGGAACATGGAATGACATGCCGTGCGACACTCATCTTCTCTACCTTTGCAAGAAATCAAAGGCATAATTTCCTCATTCATCTTAAAAAAACCCACTATAATTATAGAAAGTAAAAAGGAGAGGTATAGAGACCAAGTTGTACAAAAAAAACTCAACCTGTAAAGCAAATGCACCAAGCAAATGCACCAATTTGTACAAAAATCTCACCCTGTAAAGCAAATGGACCATGTGACATTGGTGACGGGTTTCCATATAGAACCTCCCCCCCCCCTTGGAAACCTTAGTCTCAAGAGCTCTCATACCATCAACGAAGAACGTTGTTTTACATTCAACTGTGCAACAAAACTGTACAATAGGCTTATTAAGACTACTGCAATTACTAATGTAAATACTATACATGTACATAAGTCTATTGTTATATCCTGAAGTGTAAGATTTTCAGATAACATCCAATCATCGAGTTTAATCGACAAACTAAACGATAGTGAATGCTGTCTAAAATATTTTCAGAGAATTCATGAACTTTAAGTTGCTTGGCCAATTTTGCATTGTGTACATATTGCTCTAAATTTCATATGATTTTTGATTGGAAAAAAATACTGTTACAATAGTAAAATTAATGTATTGTGCTAGTCATTGGGCACACGACTACTTGTGCACAACCTATTTTCATGTTTGCCACGATGCATGTCGAATGCGCACGGTTATAACTAGTAAGAGAATGCAGCTTTCTGTTTTTAGGTGTATATTTTCACGATGATCTGTAGAAGTTTAAAGACGATAACATATATGCAGTCTTTAAATGATAAACCAGTTATTTGCTTCATGTTACATGTACACAAGTACTCGACATTTTTGGATCCTATTGACCTTAGCTGCAGTTACCAACTCCAGCTACTAGTATTTCTTGCTTGCCTTGTTAGGTGTTTGAATAGTATAATGACAATTATATGATACCCCTATACTTATACCCCAACCTTGGTGGTGAAGCACTTTTCCCAAGCATATACTATCATGTACAATCAATGACCATGGCGCTAAAGTACCTTCCCCCACCCTGTACTATCCTGTACCATCCCTGACCTTGGCGCAAAAGTACCTCCCCCCACCCTTTAATATCCTGTACCATCCCCGACCTTTGTGCTAAAGTACCTCCCCCCACCCTGTACTATCTTGTACCGCCCCTATGATCTGTGAATGTGTGAATTCTCGTGCCTGGAATTTAATATAATCTTTAGACGTTGTTTTGATGTCTTTCGGTATTGGTCTCGGGTCTTCTGTCGTGGGTTGTTTCATATAAACTGTACGAAATCTTCGTGGGAGCGTTGTTTGCCTTTAACAAAATATGGCTGTTTTGGCGGACAGTGCATGAACATGAAAGGTGAGCTACTTCACCCACTATAATCTCAGAACATCTTTATCATCTTTAGAAGTTGTTTTGATGTCTTTTGGTATTGGTCTCACCACGACTTGTTTTAACTACACTTTAAGAATCCTAGGCTTTTAAGATAAAATGCCATGGCTGTATTTTTTTGACATGTTGATGCACCGAATAAAACGTGCTGCACCGAAGATGTGTGTATCACGTAAATGTATGTCAGATTGTGCTGTAATTTTTTTTACGGTGATTAAATGATAATACCAATTGATGGGAATTGCCAGTATTGTGCATTTATACCATTTCAGGCTAAGTAAAGGCAAGGAATAAAAGTATTAGTAATGTCCACACATTAGCAGGACTTCAAATACTAGTATTAACCCTATTCAGACCAGGATTGTTTGGTCAAGCTAGGTCAAGAAGAGGGTTTAAAGCCCGAGCCCAAAAACTCCACCAAAAATTTAGAGCCAATTGGTAAAATCAAATCAAACAACTTTAATATTTTGTCATTGTGACGTCGTGTGATTTTTTACAATGTTTTTGCCCGTTAAACTCGAATGTATACAGCAATACTTTAATACAAAGTGTCTATCACAGAATATTGAGGTCTGCACAGACTTATGTTTACCAAGGCATCAACACTGACGTCAAATAACGTCATGCATATTGCATATTCAGGCTCGATGCGCCATCTTGAATCGTGAATCTTTGAAGGGAGAGAATGTAGTCATATTTTCTTGAAATTTCTGGTTTTGCCATCAGATAGAAATGAAGTTGCCTAATTCAAGACTGTCGCCTAAAATAACGAAGCTGTGAACGATCTATTTGTCCCGTTATCGGTAAGAAAGTCTCGGCATCTTGACATGGAGAGAAAGGGGAAACAACCAATGTACAGAAGGAATGAAGAATCAGACTGTGAGTACGAAGGCATGGATTCACATGGGGCAAAACCACCACTGCCAAGGAAGTATGAAGACGTAGATCCACATGGCGAAAGTATCTTTGCATTGAGGTCTGAGGTTAAAAAACAGGATGATGACAATACGGATGATACAAATGTCCCACCACCGTTGCCAAAACGACTTTCGTCAAGGAAATATGAAGATGTAGATCCGCATGGTGAAAGTATCTTTGCATTGAGGTCTGAGGCTGGAAAACAGGATTATGACGATGAGGATGACACAAATGCCCCACCACCGTTGCCGGCAAAAACACTGCTGCCAAGGAAGTATGAAGATGTAGATCCACATGGCGAAAGTATCTTTGCATTGAGGTCTGAGGCTGAGAAACACGTTGATGACGATGAGGATGATACAAATGTCCCACCACCGTTGCCAAAACGACTTTCGTCAAGGAAATATGAAGATGTAGATCCGCATGGTGAAAGTATCTTTGCATTGAGGTCTGAGGCTGAACAACAGGATGAAAAAGATAAGGATGATACAGTAAAGGACATAAGGCTTGGAGGCGTGGATTTAGACGATGGTAGTAAAAGTGTAAAACTGGGCTCTGGGTTAAAACGCACTTCGACGCTTCGGCATCTTGACATGGGAGACCATGTGGTGGTCTACCCTGAGGTCAATAAAGAGCCGTGCCCATATAGCTCCTGCACACATGACACACCCGATGGTAGCAACGGAGACCAAGGCAGTGATGCACCTGGCTTTTGCCACAAAATTAGAGGTATGTAATTTCCGTGTATCCTATGCATTAGGCACATGTACAAAATCAATATAATGCATTCATGGTTAAAAACACTTCGCCTCTCTAAAAAAATCCCTGCAGTTTAGAAAAGCTTAGAACAACTTCAAATAAATTACAAAACTTAATTCAAAACAACTGTACATAATAAATAAAAATAAAACCTAAAACAATACAGAAAAAGACAAAGGAAAGGGATTAAGAAATTTTATATTTTGTACTAGTTCGTGTCAATTTACTGCAGTGTAGTGAATTTTTCTATGTATGGTATTACATATATGTTTTCAGATCTATAATGTGACTTAATGTTTGAGGAGGTTTAATAATAAGAGATTCGCCCATTTATTATGAGTAAGAATTTACCATTTTGGATTGAAGAGATGATTTTCGTTAAAGAAAACAAAAACTTGATTTTAAGTGTCTATTTATATTGTTTCTGAAGGATAATGTTTCTGGTAGCGTCTGTGTTCCCGGTGTCTGTGTTGTTATGTGTGGGCATGCCTTGACGATACCTTGAAATAATTGCATTTTCCAAATTACCCATATCATTCCTTTTCATCTAGGTTATACCTGCATGCTACCAAACAAAACATAATTTGCTCATTATCACCAGTACATTTTTAACCAATAACAATTTAATTACCAAGATTTTAATGTACTTTGTGAAGTATTGATTTTTATACCATGCTATAGAATTCTGTTGTGGCGTCGATTGCGCTTTGGGAAAGGCACATAACACTTAGCCTCTTAGCCTAATCTGTCTGTCTGGGTGCCAAAAACACCTTACGGATTTGGTGCGCTGATGTGACATCAGCACATTAGCCACTGAGAGCCGTTAAATTTATTTTTATTTTCTATAGAATTCTGGAATAAAATAAAATGTGGAAAAATTTTGTGGCTCCTACTGGGCTGTGGACTTCTGGTGGTAGCTTCAATTTTCATCGCTGAAGGTTTTTCCCCTGGCATCCTCATACAGGTTGGCAAACATCTTTATAACTATCTGATACAGAAGTGATATCTTGAATGACATAGCTTGAAAGTTTATAAGGACAACGACTATACATGAGTATGAAAATATAGCTATAATGGACTAACCTACTTACGTAAAGTTTCATTTTCTATTTTCTCCAAATTCTTCTCCTGCTTTGACCTCATGGTATGATTTGTTTACAAAGTAGCAAGACATTGTAAACTTTACTTTGGAAGTCTAAAATTGCCAACATGTATATATCCTTCTCTGGGTTTGAATTCTTCATAACTTTTTGTACAAACTAACAGGGTTTTCTGCATAACTTTGAAATTCTAAAATTATGCACTTGTTTATAGGATGGTCACGGCTTGGCAATCGGTAAAAAGATAGAGAAACCACGCAATCCATGGTGGGCAACGTTCCCGAAGGCCAACAGGTCGAACGTTGATTATCTAGCATCAACTGCACCTTGGTCCAAGCCTGGTACTGCGTGGCAGACGTGGTTTTATGAGAACAACAACTCAACTGTCGGCATCAGTTTGACCACGCTGTCTCCACCATGGGAATGGAACTCAACTGACGCATACACAGATGTCACTACAGATGATAAACCCTCACCAGTAACCACCACATTCCTATCTACAACAGGTAAGGCAAATTGATTTTCTTGGCAATCAAGTACATGTATTTGCTCATCATATTTTCTTTATCATCTATGCGGCAGGAAGATTTGTGATCGACCTTAACTATTCATGTTTGTCCATTCATTGTAGACAAGTGTATCATGGATCCTTGTCTGCATGGAACCTGTGCAAACAAAGATGGCGGATACAAATGTACCTGCTCACCTGGATGGACTGGACAGAACTGTCAGCTAGGTGAGTTCTTATGAAGTCAGTGAGTTCATATATGTGGTAAGTAGACTGAGGTTAAAAGCATGTGTTGTCAACGTGTTTTAGCCGGTTCAGCTTCAATTGGTTTATATTTCTTTCATATAGACATCAATGAGTGTACAAGGAACCCATGCCAACATGGAACCTGTGTGTACAAAGATGGTGGATACAAATGTACCTGCTCACCTGGATGGACTGGACAGAACTGTCAGCAAGGTGAGCACTTTTTGTGTTTCAGTATCTAAAACTAAATGTTTCTCTTTTAATATTACGTCTTATTCTTGAAATCTCTTTGTTTATCACACAGACATCAATGAGTGTACCGAAAACCCATGCCAACATGGAACCTGTGTGAATAAAGATGGCGGATACAACTGTACCTGCTCACCTGGATGGACTGGACAGAACTGTCAGCAAGGTAAGTACTGTTTCTCTAGCTACTGTAGCCTTTAGATTACATGACCGTTCTTATTTCGATCTGTCATTCGTACTCTTTTCTTGCTCTTAGCTTTTTTCTTGATGATGGTATAACAGTTATCTTATATGACACACTTGTATTTATTTATCACACAGACATCAATGAGTGTGCCATGAACATTTGCCAAAATGGAACCTGGGTGAAAAAAAATGGTGGATACAAATGTACCTGCTCACCTGGATGGACTGGACAGAACTGTCAGCAAGGTGAGCACTTTTGTGTCTTTCTATTGTCACTCAAATTCAGTATCTAAAAATAAATGTTTCTTTTTTAAGATTACGTCTTATTCTTGAAATTTCTTTGTTACACAGACATCAATGAGTGCATCAGAAACCCATGTCAACATGGACGCTGTTTGAACAAAGATGGCGGATACAACTGTACCTGCTCACCTGGATGGACTGGACAGAACTGTCAGCTAGGTGAGTTCACTTTTGCGTTGAGAAGAATAATGTAAAAGGAATGTGTTTTCATGGTTGTTTTAACCGGTCCAGCTTCAACTGATATTTCTTTTATACAGACATCAATGAGTGTGCCAGGAACCCCTGTCAACATGGAACCTGTGTGAACAAAAATGGCGGCTACAAATGTACCTGCTCACCTGGATGGGCTGGACAGAACTGTTATCAAGGTGAGTTGCCTTTATATACACTATGCAAGAGTATGTGTTTTAATTTTATTTTCAATCGGTTCAGCCACAGCTATGTACTTTTCTTACACACAGACATCGATGAGTGTACCAGCAAACCTTGTGGACATAGAATTTGCGTGAACAAAGATGGCGGATACAACTGTATCTGCTCACCTGGATGGACTGGACAGAACTGTCAGCTAGGTAAATATTTATCAGACTATTTTGCTCCTACATCTTTGGCATTTAGAATCTCACATTCAGTAAACTGTTGAATTAGCCAACCTACAATAACTTTTATTTACTGCACAGATGTCAACGAGTGTTTGAGAAACCCATGTCAGCATGGAACCTGTGTGAACAAAGATGGTGGATACAATTGTACCTGCTACGCTGGATGGACTGGACAGAACTGTCAGCAGGGTAGGTTCTTATGCAGACTATTCGGCCCCTACATCTTCAGCATTTAGATACACATTATTTAGTAAACTGTCTTCTGAGTTGGCAATTCTACGGTAACTGTAATTTACTGCACAGATGTCAACGAGTGTCTGAGAAACCCATGTCAGCACGGTAGTTGTGTGAACCAAGATGGCGGATACAACTGTACCTGCTCGCCAGGATGGACTGGACAGAACTGTCAGCAAGGTGAGTTCTATATATGATTTTGTTATTGTAACATTTGTAACTTGTTTGTATTCTATAGTGACATAACTGTAAATATTTTCAAACCTCTAGATAGTAACTAATATTGTTTAACACCACACAGACATCGATGAGTGTAGCAGCAACCCTTGCCGACATGGGACTTGTGTGAACAATCATAATACCTACACCTGCACCTGCTACTCTGGATGGGCTGGACAGAACTGTCAGCGAGGTGAGCACTCTTGTGTCTTTCTATTGTCACTCAAATTCAGTATCTGAAATAAATATTGTTTAGAATATTAGGTCTTATTCTTCTAATGTCTTTTTGTTATAACACAGACCTAAACGAGTGTACCAGCAACCCATGCAAGCATGGAACCTGTGTGAACAAAGATGGTGGATACAACTGTACCTGCTCGCCAGGATGGACTGGACAGAACTGTCAGCATGGTAAGTTCTCTATATAATTTATTGTAACATTTTATTAACTTGTTTGTATTCTATAGTCACAGAAGTGTAAACATTTTCAAACGTGTTCTCCAGCTAGCTAGATAGTAACTTATTGTTATACGCCACACAGACATCGATGAGTGTAGCAGCAACCCTTGCCTACATGGGACTTGTGTGAACTATCACAATGCCTACACCTGCACCTGCTACTCTGGATGGACAGGGCAGAACTGTCAGCGAGGTGAGTTATTTTTAAGACATGTGAAAATCTACTATCTTTCATTAATGACAGACATCAATGAGTGTACAATTATGCTAAGTCAACACGGAATCTGTGTGAACAAATATGGCAGCTATAAATGTACTTGCTAACCTGGAAGGACTGGACAGAAATGTTATTCAGAACATATGAAAATCTTCCAGGATGAAATTTCTCGTAAGTTAGCTAGTTAAGATATGTGAAAATCTTCCAGGGTAAAATCTGATATAAAATGTATACTTGGGGACATCTCTCAGTTTTCCTTGAAAACATGTTTATGAGAGACAAAGTATCCATGCTCTTGGGGTTAGCGTATCCTTAGTAGTACCCTAACTGTTCGTTCTACATGTAGCCCATCGATGCCAGAGTGGGTGGGTAGGATATCCACACAACAACTACTGCTACAAGTTATTTATGGACCTTGTCAGCTGGTCTACAGCACGATCCCGATGTAAACAACACCGTGCACAGCTGTCTTCTATTCAAGATCAAAGGGAAAACAACTTCATCACTTCCAACGTCATTAATAAAGGTGGGTTTGTTGATATATATATTGTTGTTTTGATTATTTTAAAACTTGTATTTAACACTTAATAAAATTGAACTAACAGAGAACGTAATCAATTTGTATAACAAACTGGAGTGTCATTTTCTTTGAGATTATTGCAGATTATTCAATAACAATAATAATAGCAATAGAAACAACAAAGACAGACATTGTATCGTTAAAGCTCTTGTCAAATAATAAATAATTTTTATTATAGGTTCAATGGCATTTCCTGTGTTTTATAACTTCCATATAGTATACGCCATAAACAGTTTTGCAACTGGATATGATTTTGGAAACGCTCAGACGTTTCAGGTAGCATCCACTACCTTTCGTCAGGTACGCCAAGAGACCAAAGGAGAAATTCAGGTTTATAAGCACGAATTATTAATTGATGTGCAACTTAAATGAAGACATTTTTTGGTAACGTCTGAAACGTGATCGTTTCCAAAATCATATTCAGTTGCTTGAGTAACTGTTGTTTTTTTTTGGCGTATCTTATTACATGGATGTCTAATCGTCAACGACGTTTCCATACAGTATTATTTGAGTTACTGGTACTATACTGGTACTAAATTTATTTCACTGGGGGATAGCACAACATTGCCAGTATGGACGTGGGTCATCTTACCGAGGAACGGTCGCTGTGACCAAAACAGGCAAGACGTGTCAGCGCTGGGACAGTCAGACGCCTCATGAACACGACAGGACACCTGCTAACTACCCATCGTCTGGACTGGAGAAGAACTACTGCCGGAATCCTGACGGCGTGGACGGGGTTTGGTGCTATACCATGGATCCCAGCAAGAGATGGGAATACTGTGACGTGCCAAGATGTGGTGAGGTTTTTTATGTAATCAATTCCTTTCCTTGCATGCCAATCCCATTGCTTGATTCTTAGATTTATTCTCAGAATAACGCCACACCAAGTTAAATCTGTTGCTATCTGCTATTTTCATGGGAGGTTTAAGTAACGGGACATCATGTAATTTAAAGTCTAGATGCTAGATATCCCACCAATAGTTGTAAAAGCACACTATCTGCTCACATGTATATAACTTATCTGACTTTAAATGTAGATTAATGTCTGCATGTTTGGTTTTATATAGGTCTAGCGCAGATACCATACATTGTAGGCACCTTGTGTAATTCTTGTACAACTTACGTTTGTCATTTCTTTGCTGTGAAACAGGAAAATATAAATTGGTCTGGCTTGGACTGCACGGCATTCATAAAGGTGTTTCAGCATGGACAGATGGGGAACAGTTATCCTACACCAACTGGGCTCCAAACCAACCTAGAAGGCGTTGGCAGGAAAAGTGGTTAATTTGGAATACTCAGGGGGACTACTGCGCTAGTGTATACTATGAGGTGTGTTGTTTTCTTTATTTTACATAACCACTTTTAGGCGTAACACATCATAATCAGTGTTTATTTTAATTCTTTTTCCACATATATAAGGGGATTTAAACTTGATTTATTTGCTGTCACACAATTTTGGTAATTTATTTGTTTAAAATATCAGAGAACCTGTTTTACCGGCAACAGTACAGAATGCATCAGCCTTGTTTTCTTTCTATGATAAGTGTGTACAATTTTTCTTCCAGATTTATTTCTTTCTTTCTGTAAAACATCCTGAACCTTAAATCAGTTTCATTTTTGCCCAGTGCAGTAAAGATGAAGCTTAGAAAATCACAATGATTTAAGACATAAAGAGTTACAATAAAGTTGTTACCTTTGATGTGATTTTTGAACAGACAACAGACAAAGGACAAAGTGGAACATGGAATGACAAGCCGTGCGACTGTCATCTTTTTTACCTTTGCAAGAAATCAAAGGCATAATTTTCTTATCCTACTCTTAGAAAACAACACTATGATTATAGAAAGTAAGAAAAGGAGAGTTATAGAGACAAGGTTGTTGAAAAAACTCACCATGTAAAACAGATGCACCTTGTGACATGGGAGACAGGTTTCCATACAAAACCACACTCTAGAGACCCCTGTCTCATATCACCTGAAGATTTTGTTTCACATTCAACTGTGCAAGAGACCTGTAAAACAAGCTATTAAGACTGTTGCAATTACTGATAGAAACTCTATTTAAAGTCTATTGTTACCTTCTAGGATGTGTGATTTTTAGATAGCATTCACTATCTTCCATCAGTCACTGAGACCTAAACGATTGTAAATGCTGTCTGAAACATCTTCAGAGAATCCATCAAGTTGCTTGACCAATTTTGCATTGTGTACATATTGTTATAGATTTAATTTTGATTCCTAATTTGAAAGAAAAAAATATTAGTATTAAGATTAATGCTCAATCAGTGGCCTTGGTGCTCCCTCCCACCCTGTACTATCCTGTACCGTCCCTGGCTTTGGTGCTAATGCACATTCCCCCACTCTGTAATATACTGTACCGTCCCTTGCCCTGCTGCAAGTACATTCCTACACCCTGTAATATAGTGTACCATCCCTAGACTTGCTACTAATGCACATTCCCCTACTCTGTGCTACCCTGTACCGTCCCTGGCCTTGGTGCTAGTGTACATTCCCCCACCCTGTTATATCATGTGCCGTCCCTTGCCTTGCTGCTAAAGTACATTCCTCCACCCTGTGATATACTGTACCATCCCTGACCTTGTTGCTAAAATGCCTTCCCCTACCCTGTACTATCCTGTACCGTCCCTGGCCTTGCTGCTAAAGTACATTCCTCCACCCTGTAATATAGTGTACCATCCCTGGTCTTGGTGCTAAAATACCTTCCCCCACTCCGTACTATCCTTTATGTCCTACCTGGGCCGCGATTACGTTCGATACGGGTGTTCCGGCCCGTGTGATAACTAGCGGTACAGCTCGGGGGTTCTTTAAGCGTACGGCCCGGGCCTTCCAAATGTTCCATAGAACGATTCGAACGCGTTTCGCCCTAACCGCGTGCGCCGCTTTCGAAAATTCGAATGCAAAATTCGGACGTTGGAATTGATGTTGTTGCGTTTTTTGGGATTAGGGACACCAAATTTTTGCTCATTTCGCATTGAAAGGCGTGCTTTCGTGGGTGGGTATGACATAAATAAAATACAACACGGGGTATTCCGCATCACCCTCGGTCCCAGCCCTCCCGCGGATCGGATCGCCCTCCAGCCTTCGGCCGTCGGGCGATCCGACGCGCGGTCGGGCTGGTACCTCGGGCGATACGGAATACCCCGTGTTGTATTCTATATGTACCATCCCTGGCCTTGGTGCTAATATACATTCACCCACCCCGTACTATCCTGTACCATCCCTGGCCTTTGGTTATGAAATACCTCCAAACACCCTGTACTATCCTGTACCACCCCTAGCCTTGTATACCTTAAATGTTGCTTAAATATATGCCTGTTTCTTGCTTACTAGGTGTTTTAACTGTATACTGGCGATCACATGATAGCCAGTTTACCAAGTAAAATAGTAGAAACGTAAGATTTAACCACATAAGATTAAAAGCCATAAAATGACTGTAGCAAACGGAGAAGAAAACCTGAATGAAACTTGTCTCGGGTTGTCTCAAGTTTCAGTAACTTGGAGTAAGTGATTTTTCATGGGGAAATTAAATGGAGATGTGAAGTGATGGACTATCCATGTAATAATGCGGCCGTTGCTTCTTGTTTATGCCATCAGAATCAGGTTAGAAAGTCTGTATATTACTGACAAGTTGTGTTGAATGCAACCTCACAAGATTTTGACATTATAACGCATACCAATTTATGTATGTGAAGTTTCCTATAGTTTTCTTAATGCCACTCGGTGGTAATTTGTTATATTTCAGTCCATACCATGGTATGGATGAAATATATTGTGTTCCCTCATGTTTCTTCTCCTCCTCCTTCTTCTCCTGCCAAACAGTCAAAGGGATTCAACTCCGCCATCATTCAGCCAAATGACTTGAAATTTGGCATGGAGGTAGAGTGGGCCAATACCCCCAGATGTTTTTTCATTTTTTTTTATACATGCCTTTGAAAAATTTTTATGAAGGTTTTTTGGGGCATTTTTCGACAAAAAATGGATTTTTGGATCCTGAGCCCTGGTTTTACAACCAAATGATCTAAAATTCGGTATAAGGGTACCTTGAACATGTGTCTACAGAATAGCAGTCACATATTTGGCATACACTACTTCCAAATGACTCATCTGGGGGACTTTAATGGCTATTTTCAGCAAAAAAAGGGCCAAAAGTGCTATACCCGTTCCGTGTTCTATCTAAAGAATGGCACGTTCCATCTGCCGTTGGCCATGGAACACGTGTTCCATTGCGGGTTACCTGGGGTCAGATTGCACGTAAGTCGTGCGCAATGACCCACACATTCAATTTTATGTGCCTAAGACCTTCAAAATGTATCAAATCTCATCATTGTTAGTATTTTCATACCTGTAATAAGACTAGTAAATCTTTCGAGATTCAATGTGCTTGTTCTTGCATCTTTGTTCTCAATTTCATAGCTACTATATAATCTTTGCCAGTTTTGCACTGGGGTAAGTTTGGAATAGTCCACTTTTGCGTGGGAGGGAGATGGACTGAAATATGCTGTATTTGCTCCCAAGCAAATGTCGGCCTCTCTAGTTTATTTGTACTTTTTCTGACTGCATTAAAACGATGTGCAAAATGAGATATTGCATTTCATTGAACCATTATTACAACATAGCAGTAATCTAAAACACGTTAGATATTTCAAGCTTCTGGTTAACGGTTACTGAATTATAGTGAATATTTCAAACTTCTGGGTATACTATGTCAAAACTATATTAGTCAACTGTGGTGCAACCTCTGCCTATACACTTTGGAATCCAAACATACACCCACCTCCCCTAAATCACATCGATCCAACACCGTGGATCCAAAATAATACTTCCTTCCCAGAAGAAAACATGAAGTAGTAACTAGGTAAACGATCAAGGGCTCATGGAAAACAAAGAAACTTGAAGCAATTGGCTGCTAAAGATAGACGAGGCTTTTTATTGTTCGTCAAGATGATGATAATGTAATTGTTAAAACCATTATAAGCAGTTTCTGTTCCCAACTTTTACACATGTAAATTGTAATGCCTTTCCAGGCTAATGATGAAAACGTTCAAATAAATTACTCGGCAATTTCAATTTTCGATTGTAAAGTAAATACAGTAATTCTACAATACGCAACTTTAAATTTAGAGATGTATTACATCACAATACTTCTTTCTACATGGTATACATTAAGTAGACAACATTTTGATTAAAGAATCTTACAGAATCGTTAACATCTTTATAAATGTAGAATGTGCTTATCCATTTACAACTTTACTACTATTTTAAAGATCATATAATACACGTAACAGTTAAACAATCAAGAACATTGTAACAGTTAAACAATCAAGTAACAGTTAATCAATCAAATAAATTGTAACAGTTAAACAATCAAGTAAAATTGTCATTTTTCCTTACCTCACTGACATCTGTTCTATGATATAAAAAGCGAAATATCACTGACAAAAAGGTTACGTATCTCTATTGGATAAAACAGAATAAAAAGGAAAGGAAAAACATAATAAAGAGTCTTAATCATTTCTGTTGGGATTTCAGATAGATGTAGCATCAGAAGTATAATGTTACATCCTTTACATCCACTAGAATATCACGACTTTGGCTTCTTGCAAATGTATGGATATTGTTTATCGCATTGGATGTCATTCCAGGTTCCTCTTTCCGGGTTTTGTCGGAACAATACTTTGCCGTTCTGTGGAAAATGTTACAAATGTTAAATTGTCCTTATTGTATTTTACGTAAACAATACGTACTAATAAGGAAAGAAGGGAGGTAACATATCGGAAGCAAATTATAAAAGTCACAATGGAATATTATGGTAGGTAGAAACAAAACATATTTTAGCAATATCTTTTTACATGAAAAAATTCAGAAATGCAAAAAAAGCTGTTACAGTAACAAGGTAATGGTAATCTCTTTTTGTCATTAGCATGTATAATACATATGGTATTAAAGTTCTACTTTATTTATTCGTACCTATACTCATTGAACAAGCCTAAACCACTTTGCTACATATAAAATCTTACACAACATCAGTAACCATAATGACTGCCAGCTTATCTGTTTTAAAGGGACAAAACTGACCTAAAACAATATGCCCAAAACAGTTACTCATTCAATCAACTGGATATTATTTAGGAAATTCTTATCCAGTTCTTCTAAAGTACCTTCCCCCACCCTGTACTATCATGTACCATCCCCGACCTTGGTGCTAAAGTACCTTCCCCCACCCTGTAATATCCTGTATCGTCCCTTGCCTTGCTGCTAAAGTACATTCCTCCACCCTGTAATGTCCTGTACCATCCCCGACCTTGGTGCTAAAATACCTTCCCCCAACCTGTATTACCCTGTACCGTCCCTTACCTTGCTGCCCTTCCTTATAGCCTTATTCCTATTAAAACACCTACCTTATAGTTCATGTAAACACAGTCTTCGCTTGCTCTGAACCAGCTCATATAGTTGTTAGGCTCTCCAGGGCTCCAGTTGCTATAGAGGATTTGTGAGCTATCAGACCACTTCCAATGGCTTCCATATTTACGGAGTCCAACCCACACATAGTTTTGGGCTGCAGGCAAGTAACATATAGCAACTAATGTACAAAGATTCTGGAAAATTCATCTACTCTACAATATGGCGTCCCTGTGGTGAGGGTTCAAGTTTGAATCTAAAGCTCTAGGTATCGCTAGCAGGCCTAAATGTTTACTCTTTTTCATTCTGAATACAATACTGTAGTTGGTAGATTAACTTGGGAGAGCCACACCATTTTGAGCACGTTAGAGATTCCAGCCAAACTTATCGAAAAGTGTAGGGTTCTATCTTGGTGGCAGTGGATTAAAATTCACAGTTCAGCTGGTAATTTTCAACTGGTATGTTATGTCTGAAGGCCTGTATGCAAAACAAGCAAAAAGCAAAAATAGTACGTAGTGCAGGATGCGATTAATATAGTATTACATTGTTTGATTGTACAGTATTTTGTTAAATTTCTAATGTCTAGTATACACTTTTATAAACTGTCAATGACTTATATTTACAATGCAGAGTCAATCAAGTATTTTGTGATAAATAATAAGATTTTCAAAATTCGATCATCTCAAATCAAATGTGGGATAATCTCTAAGATTCATAAAGAATGCCCTAATTGATGACGAATTGTTTACTACCCACCATTCTTGTTTAAAGTTAAAACTTTTGGTCCAACACAAAACATTCTCTCAACTAGAGCTTTCGACCAGTCACTCTGGTCTTCCTCAGTAGACTGACCAGCTCTAGGTGAGAGAATATTTTTGTGTTGGACCAAAAGTTTTAACTTTAAACATGTAACTACCAACACAGATGAACTTTCATGATACCCACCATTCTTGATGAGATCTGCAATGAAAACATTCTCCTCACGGCTGTTGATGGAGGCCAAATTTGCACCTTGTTTTTTACATCGTGTGTTAGCTTGGTCCCAGGTGACTTCGTCCGTAAACAACTTGTAGCGGTGCTCGCCGTATTCCCACCATCCACTGATGAAACCTCCCGCTGTAAAATTTAAACAGTAAATGCTGTGAGATAACACCAAGTGTTTGCGTTTGCAGTGGACCAGCTGACTGTGTCACTCACAAACATGTAACAGTGGATTTTGTACACCACCACCAACAACAACTCCTTCTGTAAAATAGTAAATGCAGTAGACTTATAATCACCATCATTTCTAAGTATCATGTCATTGATACAGGCAACTCTATGCTTCCTGGTTAGGTTGATATAGGTGTATTGAGCTAACAAGAAATAAGTATCGGTGTTTGCGGTTATTTCAAGGTTTCTGTAGACCAACTGCCTTTGTCCATGACGAACATTTAGAAGATGTTGTTTCCTTTCCTCTACCTGCCCCACTGTATTTACTTACACACAATCGAAAATGGAAATTGCCGAATAATTTATTTGAATGTTTTCATCATTAGCCTGAAAAGGCATTACAATATACAACGTTTAGTAGATGTTGCTTCCTTTCCTCTACCTCCCCCACTGTACCATTTAAACAATAAATACAGTGAACTAACACCATAAAATCCCTGTTGGTGCTTGTAGTTGGAGTTTCCTGTAGACAAACATTTAGCGGTGATTTTTTGCATGCCCAACATTTGCTCTGGCATCGAATGGGGCTAACACCAACTGGGTATGATAGACACTTGAAAACACGGGTTGCTTTAGGCTAAACTAGCTGACTTTGTCATAAACCAAGTGTGTGTTAAAGTGTTAGGTGTTGATTCCTGTCATCCACTTCTGCACCATATTGCTGTGCAATAAATACTAGTTACTTAGGTAGGAGATTGAGGAAAAGAGGAAAACAGCACCCGAATGTTAGATAGTTTGGAAACATAACTCACGTTCCTGGCAGTTCTGTCCAGTCCATCCTAGTGAGCAGGTACATTTGTATCCGCCCTCATTGTTCACACAGGTTCCATGTAGGCAAGGTTTTCTGGTGCACTCATTGATGTCTGTGTAAAAGAGATATAAAGCAACTGTAGCGTAACTGATTAAAACACTCTGACAACGCATACTTTATGCCTTAGTGTCTACTTATTAAAATGTAAAAAGCACTCACCTTGGTGACAGTTCTGTTCAGTCCATCCAGGTGAGCAGGTACATTTGTATCCGCCATCATTGTTCACACAGCGTCCATGTTGGCATGGGTTTCTTGTGCACTCATTGATGTCTGTGGGATTAAGAAATAATTCAGTAAGAAACCATGACAATACCTTTACTTTAAAGCCAATGTTAGTTACCATAGTTCTGTCCAGTCCATCCAAATGAGCAGATACATTTGTTACCGCAATTGATGTTTACACGGGATTCATGTTGGCATGGCTTTCTAAAGCACTCATTGATTTCTGTGTAAAAGACATCTACATCAGCTATAGATAAACAGATTAAAATCATGCTGAAAACACTTACTTTATGTCATATATCAATCATACCTAATATAAGAAGAGCACCCACCTTGCTGACAGTTCCGTCCAGTCCATCCTAGTGAGCAGGTACATTTGTATCCGCCATCATTGTTCACACAGCGTCCATGTTGGCATGGGTTTCTTGTGCACTCATTGATGTCTGTGGGATTAAGAAATAATTCAGTAGGAAACCATGACAATAAATTTAGAGCCAGACCGAAAAGACACAAAAAATCACCTCGCTGACAGTTCTTTTCAGTCTATCCAAATGAGCAGATACATTTGTATCCACCATCGATGTTTACACAGCATTCATGTTGGCATGGTTTTCTAAAGCAGTCACTCATTTCTGTGTAAAATCTACATCAGTTGTAGATGAACAGATTAAAAGTATGCTGAAAACACATACTTTACGCCTTATCTTTTACTTAATATAAAAAGAGCACCCACCTTGGTGACATTTCCGTCCAGTCCATCCAGGTAAGCAGGTACATTTGTGTCCACCATCTCTGTTCACACAGCGTCCAGCATGTTGGCATGGGTTTCTGGTGCACTCATTAATGCCTGTGGGATCAAGAAAGAATTCAGTAAGAAACCATGACAATACCTTTAAAGCCAATGTAAGTTACCATATGAAGACTGATGAATTTTTGTATTTACCTAGCTGACAGTTCTGTCCAGTCCATCCAAATGAGCAGATACATTTGTATCCACCATCTTTGTTCACACAGCGTCCATGTTGACATGGGTTTGCGATGCACGCATTGAAGTCTGTGGCACAATGGAGGCAATCGTGTGGTTATTTTGAGAATAATTTATTATTCCAATGCTTAGGATACTCAGCCAAGATAAAAGTTGAATGTTGGTTGCACAATCATCCAAACTGAAGTGTGCGGTCTTACCTGTTGGTAATAGATATAAATATGCTATATTGTTCTGTACAATCCTACTCAAAAGTAAAAGTAATATTTTAACCTAACATGTTTTCTTTTATATGTGGTAAGTGATTTTACATGGATTGTGATTTTTGTGCACTAGTAGTTACAACAAACTTATCAGTGCAATTCAGTGACCCTGTCAAGGCTTACTGTAGTGTTGTAACCTTTGGAAGTTTCAATAAACCAGTCAAATAGTGTAATGATGGTACATGATCATTTTTTCGATTTTTGGAGGTGAATTGGTATTTGTAAGTAACTGCGTTAACTCCCCTGTCGAAGACATTGTCAGTGAAGTCGAGTAGGAAACTGGAGAAGTGTTTTTCTCGTAGAACGTTGTCATCCATGTAGTAGCAGACTTCCCCAGCATTGATGGTGAGGGGGATGGAGTCGAGTTGGCAAGTACCGAGCCGTTTTCCTTGTAGATAATTGTCGACACGAGAACACTGGAATATGTCAGGTTCCTCCCGTTTTTCTGTTTTAGAGAATCGTGCACGTTCTGTGAATAGATGTAACACCACACTAAATTTTCTTTGTTTTCTTGGACATGTTTGGCAACAATTCCTTAAGAGGGCAAGATCAAAAAAGTTGTCTAGGAGAGAAACGCATCTATCTGAATTTACCATATTTCTGTAAACTTTGTGTATAAAATGCAGAGTTTCCCCTCTAACTCTTATTGATGATATCTCTAACTCATAATTTCATATTGATTATCTATGTTAGTTCCTATCTATCATAGTTCTGTTCATTTATCCAAGAACCAAGAAATTAAATTAATTAATGTCCTTCCTGATGTAAAATTGTGCAATCAAATCAGTATCTCCAGTGGTTTCTGTCTTATGCCTTGTACACACCATCTTGATTAAATGGTTCTTGAATGAAAATCTAGATCTGTGCTACGCTACAGAACCAAAATGGAAACAGAGACAGAAGGGACCCCAGAGAAAGCCTTACCGTTGCCATTGTTAAATCAATTTCTGGGATCGAACACACATACATATTCAAGTTGTCCTCCCAACACTGTTTTTGACGTCCACTTACGAAAAATCGCTTTAAAACGCCCAAGGAAAACCAAGGAAATTAGTGGTTACCATGCCTAATAGGACTGACCTCTACTTTACTTCCAGGTTGGATGTAAGCTGTCACAACTACAGCCGTGACGACCGACACAATCAGCACAACTCCACAACACACAAGAACCCAGCAAACGTTGCTGGACTTTGCCTTGTTCCACATGCCCACGGCACGCTCTGGGGTTTAATATGCAATATATTTGCACATAGAATAAGAAATAAGAAACAAATCATATAGTAACATCAATGAACAAACATGAGATTCCAGACCTCCGGTAAGTGCATATGTTCACAAGGACGGCCGAGAATGTCAGGTATCACATTAACAGCAATGGTACCAGTAACGCTACATAAGTGATATTAAAATGATAAGACGTAATGCAGGCTGACACACCTTTTTAACAGTTTTCCTACTTACAGTCACAGAATTGTTTGCACAAAATTACACATTAATAATTTAATTCTGGCTACGTTTATAACATCTAATTGGGTTGCTACTAAACATTGTACATTTCCAAATGCCTGTTGATAGACCTGTACTATCGGTTTAAAAGGAGCCCACAAAAACACTAGGTTTCTGGCCTTCCATGCATGCTCTTTTAACTCCAGGAAAACAATTCTCTGTAAGTAGGAAAATTGTTAAGAAGGTGTGTCAACCTGCAAAAGTTTCATCGATATTACAAAGGCAACAGCATTTTCACTACTATCATAACATGATCAGTTGTAGTAGGTTTCAAATTGGCTAAACCAGTCTGAATGTGGTGGTATGGCTTGGTTAAACTCAGGCGTACCTTTAAGACCGAAGCTTTTTTCCTCTTTCTTTTCATCTGTATCAGTCTCCTGTGGTTTGTAGTATGGATCTGAATATGGATCACCGTTTTGCTCTGGCCACATTACAATATGGTCTCCCATGTCCAGTCTTTGGGGAGTAGCATCTGAAACTGAACGTTTCGAGTCAGAGTTGTAAGTGCCACATATTCACCACTGGAGCCTAGATCTTAGCTGGGGCAAGTGTTTGGGGCATTTCTCGACATAACTAGAGATACATTCAGACTTTTAAAAGACCAACATTACTTTTGGAAAACAAAGTTCCAGTGTTGGTGCTTGCAATAGGCTACATTTCCGCAAAGTTCTAGAGGGGATTGGAGCAGGCCGAATTTCAATATTTTGTGGTCATTCCCTAGAAATACATGATAAGAGCATGAACTAAGTTTTAGTACCATAAAACCCGCTAGGAGGCTCATGCCATAATCAAACATGTCCTTCATTTGGCCATTAACAGAAGCATATTTTGTACATACAACATGTACAAAATATGACAAATATCCATGTCATAAATTCACGAGTTCTGTTGCCCACAAAGAAATCTACCAACGGGCAACGGCACAGAAAAAAATCCTGGACATATCTAACTCGGATGAACATACGTGTGTCGTACAGGCGTATTGAAAAACCATAGAAAAACAGTTAAATGTAAAAGAGTCACTGTGGCAAACATGATTAAGATGCAAAGTTTTGCCTTCAAAATGTTTCCAGTTTTTTTGCCAATAGACTTTGGCAGTATCGTGTAAAAGGGCAAGGACCAACAAATGCCAGACTAATTTCAATCAAGGACATAACGTCATTGGTTCATACAATATGCATATAAAAACCACCCACATAGAGTGTAAACCTATACTGCAATATTACTCTATTCAAAGAGGCATTGTACAAGAATTCGTAGCATATATCAGCATAAATCTGTCTTAAAGTCTTTAAATTATAAACCTTGGGTTAAGATGTAGCTGTGTATATATGTAACGGACTTGTCATCCTTTATGTTTACTTACGTTTATCAGCCTTTGCTGGCTGTAAGTCTGTGTAATGTGTTGTATGTTCAAAACTCAATCTTCCTGAAACTATTGCAGAGCCAACAACTTTGAGCACCCTCACAAGATAGTTTAAACAACATGTGCAGTTACATATGCCAGAGAACAAAGATCGGGTGTTTAGTGTAACAACAAGCTGCTGCCGCGCTGCGCGCCTGCGATGCTAGTGTATTACCCTGAAGGGTGGTTAAATCGGCTGTACAGATATAGATACATGCCTTGCAATTTAATTGAAATGAACATACCTCCAGCTTTGTGCTCAGCGTTGTCCTCTGGTTCGTAGCACGGGTCTGAGCAAGGTTCTTCCGAAGGCTTGTCCTCAGCCATGTGGTCTTCAGGGTCTTCAGACACTAGTTCCATGTCCTCAGCAATTTCTCCCGTTTGTTTGGGCTCTTCAATGATGCTTTCACCGTGCGGATCCACATCTTCATACTTTCTGTCCGATTGGTTTTTTCTTCCATTCTCTTCTTTCTTCTCTTTGTCTTCCATGTCAAGATGTCGAGGCGGAGGAACATCGGGCGCAGTGCGTTGCTGGCCAGACCTCAAGGCAAAGATACTGTAACCAGCCGGATCCACGTCTTCGTATTGTCTTTCCGATTCTTCATGACATCTAACGACCTGTTCCTTCTCTTTGTCTCCCATGTCAAGATGGCGAGGCGGGGGGACATTCGGTGCGGTACGTTGCAATCCAGAACTTAGAACAATGATACTTGTTCCAGCCTGATCCACATCTTCATACTTGCTTGCGGGTAACGGTAGTGGAGAATTCTTACCAGACACATTTTTATTATACTCGATGTTTTGACCTGAACTCAGTTGTTCAAATCTAACGTTGTGTTTTCTGTTCTCTTCTTTCTCCTCCTTGTCTCTTACTTCAAAACGACTCGACATTTTTCTCGGTGAAGGCGGCGGGTGGTTTTTACCATTCATTACCTCATCACAGTGTTTTTATGACAACCTTCCATGGCGCGCCTACATTTCTATTATTGCCTCTTTTTCTATGATAAACGATGATTGCTGTTGAAGAAAAAGATACATTTGCGGATTGTTAGGGGAATAAGAGGAGCAGTACCCATCTCCGTTTTTTCAGGCCACAAAGGGTAAATGAAATTAAATAAAAGGGTCACTACAAAAGGAGGATATTCCACTAGTAGAGTAGTTTGAAAACCTTTCATGCTCTTGTTGTTTTGTTAAGTGCGAAGTGCTAAGAAAAAGGAAGCCTTGTTTAAACTCTTTTGTGTGAACAAAAATCGCACTAAAAGACAAGCGAGTTCATCACAAATGACCAATTTTAACAATCATAAAAAAACGAACACCGTGAATACCTTTCAGCTAGCTTGCCAGCATGTTGACAGCATGTAGGAGGCAAAATCAGCATGTTACAAGTCGTCACGTAGTTTGTACGTACTTTTTCTTAATTAGTCTCATACGGCTTCGTCTTAAGTAGCTATTTACACCACCTTATTTGGAGTGCCTGATCTGAGACACCATGTCATACTATTAACAATGAATAAATATTGGCGGAGACACTTTGCATCTTCAAGGCTTTTTGATTGTTTGAAATGTTTTCTCAACTCTTTTTTTCTGCGGCGAAGTCACTTATATAACTTCAGACGAACATGAGTAACTGTTTCATGAGTAACAATTTCAAAATGTACATTTTGTAAAAAAAATAAAGTTGCACAGAACACTTTCAGGGAAAACCAATCTTTCCGTGTCTCAGGATATGGTCACAGGACCATGAAATCAGAAGACGTAGAGGAAAAATGTTGGTATAGTCCGAGAACCAAAGGATTAAATTGACATGCACATGAAAGGGAGTTCCACCACCCATATAATCTGCGTAGGTGTGATTTCGCCAGCTTGGAATTTATATGATCAGTAGAAGTTGTTTTTGATGTCTTTTCGTGCGATTGTTCTCGCACCTACTAGGTGCGTATATTATTTTGCCTTCAACAAGCATCGTGCATAACATTCTAGTTGTGCGCAAACGCACAAACACACTTACTTGTTCCATTATGTCCAGGCTTATTTGGTTTACTGGTAAACAGCAGCAACTGATTTAAGTGAGTCATGATTTCAACAATAATGCTAAAACAATTCTGTACAATTCAAACGAAAACAAATGCCCATTCAAGCTAAATGATGAATCATCAAATAAATCATTAACTTAGAGTAAAGCTGATATACCCCTCTTTGAATTTACATGCACATATATAGCATCAGACACTTCTTTCGTACGTAAAGTTTAAACTGAGGATATTACACAAAACTTTTAACAGTTTCCTAAATGTAGATTGCCTTAACTTCACGGTTAAAGCTGCTCTATGTAGTTTTTTGCGCAAAAATCAAATATTCTGAATCTAACAAATCTTGGTCTTATCATCATTTACTATCACTTTTCAACACACTTGCGTCATTAAATCACGTTTCTGGCGTATTTTGTTAGCGCAAAAACAGTCCGCTCGATGCGCGCTCAGTTCCCGGTGGCACCGAGTTGATGCCACCGTTGGAACGTAAACAAACAACGGTTTTCGTTCGGGAATCTTCGGTAAGTTCCGGCTGCGTGACGTCATGACTCTGAAACAAAATGGCGGGAATGGAGGGCGTTCGGGATCGTTTGAACCGTGGAGGTACAAGAAGTTTGCTGACCAGTTCCGCCAGGAAAAGGAAGGAGAAGGATAAGTTCTCAAAGCGGGTGTTGTTGGTATAGCAGTAATCGAAGGAATAACGCGATCAAAACAAACCCGGAAGCAAAGGCGAAAACCGGCGGTTAGAATCGAATATCCCGCTCCCGGGTGAAAGGTCAAGTTAGACCATGTGACAAATATCCGGGCCGGCTCGGGAGTACTCGGACATGTTCGGAAGTCAACAAACATGGCGGACACCCAAGCGGGCGCGTGCAATTTCTCAGTTTTCTAACCGCTCGTATCGCAAAATTATTGTCTCGCCTCCATGAACTGAATGGATCAGTGTAACACGGTAGGGCTTATTCAACTAGCAATGTAAAGAAATGGCCAGAAAATCGACTTTTTGTTTTAAGGTTAGACGGCCAAAAAACTACATAGAGCAGCTTTAAAGCTATATTATGTAGAATTTTGACTATTTTAAAAATCTTTCTTTTACACATTTTCTTGCTCTGTAAGCCTACCTGGGTTCATAATGACATTTAGGGATCAAAAGATAAACGTCGTTACGCCGCAAAAACGTGTTGGAAAACTGCGCACTTCTCGGCGCTAGCACGGATCGGGGCCATGTTTGTTTACATCCGACCGCGTCCGAGCATTCCCGAATCCAGCCGAACCGCAGGTCACCGTAGAACACGTTATTCTCTAAAATACGGCATATGCCGGGTCACGATTTGACAACTGTCAATAGTGCAACAAAAACACCTTAGACGTACGTAACGTTTATACTTTTCATATCTACAGGATTTGCCTAGTACAACAATGTAGATATTTCGTGCATTACAAAATGACACCGATCGTTATGGCCTTCCAAACATTAGCATTTTTGGTCAGTTTATCTGTGCTTATCTTTTTTTACTGGCCAACTGGATCCCATTAGCTAATACCACAGTGTGATAGCCCACATCTTCACCTTTACATCGATACCAAAGTCCCCCGGTTAGTTTTAGGACAAACGGGTTTGCCCCAAAGAAAACCGCGACGGTGCACACATCGCGGTGACGAAATTTTAGCCCAGTTGTAGCTACCGGCGCACACCATTCTGGGTTTCCGCAACATTTTGATACATTTAGCGTAATGTCATAAACTTCGTTCCTTGGTATGAGAAACTGTATGAATGTGGTTACCACATGCAATATGATAAGTGACATGATAACTTTCAAGTATATACAAAAAGAGGATTTTAGATTAGGTACTGACCCTTCAAAAATTGGCAAATTTGAAGTCAATCGGCTTCGAATCCAGCGTTCGAAAGCGTTCGAACCATGGAACCCAGACACGCGCCGGAAGTTGCCGAAGATTTCCGAACGAAAACCGTTGTTTGTTTACATTCTATTTATTGTGGCACAAATAAATACGTCTGGCCTTGCGCAACTTATTCTCGCGCTGCGCTGAGTTGCCGAAAAGGCGAAATAGCGACGCTAATACGTTGAAAGTTATCGAAAATGACAATCTACATAAGAAAATTTCAATTATTTGTATTTTCAGTTTTGGCGCGAAAATCCTACATAATATCGCTTTAAGCGTTCACTAACATTTTGAATGATCATCAACTTGCTACAAGAATACCCCAAAATATTTCAAGAGTAAAAAAGTATGTGGACTCATAACATAGAATTGGCAGCTTTCCTTCCTTCCCTACATCTCTGTCCACTATTACAGCATTAGTTCATACAAGCAACGTATTACAGTATTCCTATCATTAAAAGTAATTCTGTGTATAAAAAAGTGAAGCATCACTGACCAAAAAGTAAATCAGAATATTTCACATAACAAAAGAATCACGACAAGGAATAAACGCATTAACTGTTGATCTAAGGGTCCCAAATAGCATAATAATTTGTCTTTTACATCCCCCAAAATATCATGATTTTAGCTTCTTGCAAATGAAAGGATATCTGTAATGGCATTGGTTGTCATTCCACATTCCTCTTGTCCACCGAAAAAATATCATTTCACCGCCAGGCTGTAAGAAATGTTTATACCCTCTGAGTACAATGAAAAAAAATCATGTTACTTCCAATTAAGCTTTTATCAGCGGCACTAAACGTTTCTTTGTTACATAGTATACTCTCTTTTGTTTGTAACACATAAATCATATAATACTTCTCTTGTTTATATATTGCTGTATGTATAGGGGTTTAGTTTTCAGCGTACTACTTTATACTTATGACTATTTGTATGACTATTGTATTTATGTTAAATGTTAAGTGGGGCTGTAAAACAAGTTGTATTAACTTGAGTTCAGTCCCACTTCGTCCTTGTATTTGTATTTGTATTGCTTTATTCAATAATAAAAAAAAATCAAAAAATGTTGCGTAAACAATACGTTATAATAAAACGGATACAAGCGTATATCAAAGATACCCAAAAAATAAAAATATCTAAATTGCAATAGAATAATTATATATTATAGGTAGAAGCATAACGTAAACTAAGAGGTTAATATATAAAAAATATCTATTACATATCTATCATTTGTAATATCTACAAAAATAAATAAGATGCATTAAATGTGTTAAATGCTTGGTACCAGCATGAAAATAGTGACAAAATTATACATCTCTGTTCATTTTTACTCACACTGCTCAAAATCAAACAACAGTAATGATCATGACTGCCAGTACGTATCTCCTGTAGTCTTTTCAATGGAATAAGACGAAACCTAGTACCTTAAACAACATTTTCCATTCTCTAAAGATATATTTGCTTTTAAATTACCTGTCCTTGACAGGTCTTCGTACTGTTTTGTAATAGAAAGGGAGCACCCACCTTAGAGTACATGTAAACACAGTCTTCACTCTTCCTGAAAATCTTCATGAAGTTGTTGGGCTCACCAGGTTTCCAGTTGGTATATGTGAATGGTGACTCATCAACCCATCTCCAAGATTCTCCACGTCTACGAAGTCCAATCCACACAGCTTCTGCTGGGGCTGCAGGCAAGCAACATGTGGCAACTTTAACAACAATTCTGTGGAAATTAGTCTACAATAATGTCTGGCCTTGTCGTTAGGGTTGCTGATATTCAACGCTTAGAATTAAATATGAATTCATAGCTTTATCTATCTATATCTATCTATATATCATACTGGGCAAGGCCCCCAAACTGGGGCATCACGCCCAGGGTCTTGACAATTGCGGCCGGTGGGGTGAGGTGCTCCGTTCAAGGAAAAAAAATCAATCAAACAAGAAAGTGCTTATGGTGTACAAAAATAAACAGTGCTATGTACATGGCCGAAATGTGAATGACCATGCATTGGGCCAACCCCATCCTGAAGGTGTCTGTAGTTGGTGCCGAGACTAAATGTGCTGGTAGGTAGTTCCATTCAATGATTGTTTGTGGGAAGAAACTAAATCTGTATACATCTGTTTTGCATGAAGGAATGGTGAAACGTAGGTGGTGTCCTCTTGTTGGGTTGGTGTTTCTGGAGGTGTATTCATGTATGGCTATGGCTAGTTAGGAACATCATCTTGAATTGGATGTACATGTATATCCTGTGGCCCTTTGCTTGGGAACAATCACACATTGAGCACCACACTTATTAAAAAAGTAGGGCCCCACCCAAGTGTGACTAGACCTACCAGTCCAACCTTATGCAACTTACTGTGCAATTGAACTGGTGTGTTATGCCTAAAGGCCATTTAATGCTTGATATGCAAAATAAACAAACAAACAAACAGACAAATGGATCTAGACTAGACTACGTAGTGCATGATGGGACTAGTATATTCTTGAATAGTCGTCTGTGGAATTTCCAATGCCTTTAAGGCACTTTCTTTTATATTGTCCTATATTCACAATTTAGGGAATACCAATTGTCAATGCTTCGGTTTAAAATGTATCAAGTATGTAGCAAGTTAGTGATTTTTACTCTCAGTTTACTATCTCGAATCAAATGTAGGCTAAACCTAAATAATCCCTGAGAATCATAAAGGATGCCATGATTAATTAGGACGAGGAGTTGCATACTTAATACCCACCTTTCGCGATGAGATGTGCAATAAAATTGTTTTCCCATCGATTTGTGATGGAGGCCAGGTTTCCACCTTTATTTTCACACTCCACGTCAGCGTTGTTCCAGGGAAGTTCCTGTGCCTCCAACTTGTAGCAGTAGATGTCGTATCCAATCCACCCATACCCGCATTGTCCTTCTGTAGCATATAAATAGTGAATGCAGTGAGCTCATCATCATATCTTACCATGCCGTTGATGCAGACAGAAAAATACCCCTTTTTTTACCTAGTAAGCTGATATACAGGTGAAGTGATGAAGCTAGTTCAACAAATAAGTATTGATTCTTGCAGTTATGGTATCGAGTTTACTGTAGACCAGCTAAGTTTTTCTGTCACGAACACGTATCATTTACTCAGCATTTTGCATCGAGTCGGGTTGTAACAAACAGTAATTAGGTGCACTGAGTGGGTATAGATGCTTGAAGTTAGAGGTCGCATTAGATTAAATCTGATATGACATACACACAAACATAGCGTAACTATCCTTAGTATTGTACTCCTTCCATCCAGTACAGTACACATACACTTTAACAAACAGTCCATGCAGTGAGCTAACACAAGTATATTGGATGCTATCAGCTCGGGTATACTATAGCTAAACGTTTCCACCACACAGCCTTCTTTCGAAAGAAACTGGGAAATATTTTTAAAAATATCATAGATGTTAACCTTAAGGACTTCAGCAAACTCACCTCGCTGACAGTTCTGTCCAAACCAACCGGTTGAGCAGGTACATTCGTACCAGCCATCTTGGTTCACACAGGTTCCATGTTGGCATGGCTTGTCGGTACACTCATCGACGTCTGTGTAACAGCGAAAGAAATATCGCACAATATAGAAGGCCAAATGCAAATTACAAAACATAAAAAAAAATTAAAACATAGTATAAAATAACTTAAGTCTACATGATGAAAGGTAGCGGTCTAGAACTAAACCCATGTCTAAAACTATGTCTGAAGGGGTTGACTTCTCTTCTGCAAACTATGGCTAAGACCACCTTTGTTTACACAGGTTCAACGTTGTTCTCCTACACCCATTTATATCTGTGCAATGAACAACAGTTACGGAGAGATATAGAGGATCGAAGGAGCTATGGGAAAGAATTGTAAAGAAGGAATGACCATCGAATATCATTTTTTCTAAATCAGATACAACTTCTCTTAGCAAATGTTAGATGGTGGGAAAGAATTCTTTAGATAGAAAGTACAAAAAAGTCTGAAAAAGGAGCCCACCTAGCTGACAGTTTAGTCCAGTCCATCCAGGTGGGCACTTACATGTGTACCCACCATCTGTGTTCACACAGCGTCCATGTTTGCATGGGTTTCTGTTACACTCATTAATGTCTGTGTGATGAAAAATATTATTTACAACATAATGATCAATAATATATCCACCAATCTAGATAAGACCTATGAAAAAGAAATCTTGGCAAAACGCGTATACATGTTAAGTAAGCATTTAGTAACAACACATAGATACAGAAAGGACGCACCTTCATGACAGTTCTGTCCAGTCCATCCAGGAAAGCAGGAACATTTGTATCCTCCATCTTTGTTCACACAGGTTCCAAGTTTGCATGGGTTTTCGGTGCACTCATTGATGTCTTATGATAAAGAAGAGTTTATAATCATTATTCATAACAAAACCTATCCTTAAGGAAGAGAAAGATTTTGACAGAAAGGAAATTCATGGATATAGGAAAATCTATGCTTTTAATGTAAATCCTACATCGTTAAAATAAAAAGAACCTACCTTGCTGGCAGTTCTGTCCAGTCCATCCAGGTAAGCAGGTACACTTGTATCCACCATCTTTGTTCACACAGGTTCCATGTTTGCATGGGTTTCTGGTGCACTCATTGATGTCTGTAGAATAAAGAAAGACACACAGTACATATCAATATATCTTTGAACCACTCAAGTGAGTAACAGCACAAAGTCACAGAAATCACAAAGTCACAGACAGCACAGAGACATACTATTAGAAAGAAGTCACCTTGCTGACAGTTCTGTCCGGTCCATCCAGGTAAGCAGGTACATTTGTATCCTCCATCTCTGTTCACACAGAACCCACCTTTGCATGGGTCTCTGATGCACTCATTGATGTCTTATAATAAAGAAGAGTTTAATCATTATTCATAACAAAACCTAATATCAAGGAAGAGAGAGATTTTGACGGAAAGGAAATTTATGGATATAGGAAAATCTATGCTTTTAATGTAAATCCTACATCGATAAAATAAAAAGAACCTACCTTGCCGGCAGTTCTGTCCAGTCCATCCAGGTGGGCAGGTACATTTGTATCCGCCATCTTGGTTCACACAGGTTCCATGTTGGCATGGGTTTCTGGTGCACTCATTGATGTCTGTGGAAAAAAAAGACACATAGTACACATCAATATATCTTTGAACTCGGGACCACTCAAGTGAGTAACAGCACAAAGTCACAGAAAAGTCACAGACAGCACAAAGTTATAGAAAACACAAAGTCACAGAAAGCACAAAGACACAGAACTAAAGTATGCGACAACACAAAGACATTATTAGAAATAAATCACCTTGCTGACACCTCTGCCCAGTCCATCCAGGTAAGCAAGTACATTTGTATCCATCATCTTTGTACACACAGGTTCCATGTTTGCATGGATATTTCACACACCCATCGATGTCTGTGTCATGAAATGCAAATAAAAAAAGTTATATACAACATAAAGATCAATAACATATCCAACAATCTAGAGAAAATCTATGAAAACGAAATCATGGCAAAACATGTATACATGTTAAGTAAGCATTTAAGTAACAACACATAGGTACAGATCAGAAAGGACACACCTTCATGACAGATCTGTCCAGTCCATCCAGGTGAGCAGTTACATTTGTATCCGCCATCTTTGTTCACACAGGTTCCATGTTGGCATGAGTTTCTGGTGCACTCATTGATGTCTTATGATAAAGAAGAGTTTACCCATCATTCATAATGAAAACCAAGGAAGAGAGAGATTTTGACACAAAGGAAATTCATGGATATAGAAAAATCTATGCTTTCAATGTAAATCCTAACTACATGTACCGATAAAATAAAAAGAACCTAGTAGTACCTTCCTGACAGTTCTGTCCAGTCCATCCAGGTGAGCAGGTACATTTGTATCCACCTTTGTTGTTCACACAGCGTCCATGTTTGCATGGGTTTCTGTTGCAATCATCGATGTCTGTGGAATAAGCAAGACACGCAGTACATAATATATTTTTGAACTTGAGACCGCTCAAGTGAGTGATAGCACAAAGTCATAGAAAGCACAAAGTCACAGAAATCACAAAGTCACAGAAAGAACTAAAGTAAGCGACAACACAAAGAGATCATCATTCATAACCAAAACCTATCATCAAGAAGAGAGAGATTTTGACAGAAAGAAATTCGATGCTTTCAATTTAAATCCTAGCTGCATGTACCTATAAAATAATCTACCTTGCTGACAGTTCTGTCCAGTCCATCCAGGTGAGCAGGTACATTTGTATCCACCATCTTTGTTGAAACAGCTTCCGTGTTGGCATGGTTTTCTGATGCATTCATTGATGTCTAATGATCAAGAAAGGTATAATCATCATTTATGAACAAAATTCGACAAAAGAAAAAATGATGAAATTAGAAAATCTATGCATTCAATGTAAATTCTAGCTACATGGACAGATAAAATAAAAAGAACCTACCTTGCTGACAGTTTTTTCCAGTCCATCCAGGTGGGCAGGTACATTTGTATCCACCTTTGTTGTTCACACAGCGTCCATGTTTGCATGGGTTTCTGTTGCACTCATCGATGTCTGTAGAATAAGTAAGACACGCAGTACATAATATATCTTTGAACTTGAGACGCTTAAGTGAGTGACAGCATATAGAAAGCACAAAGTCACAGAAATCACAAAGTCACAGAAAGAACTAAAGTAAGCAACAACACAAAGAGATATTTGTTGGAAGAAATCACCTTGCTGACAGTTCTGTCCAGTCCATCCAGGTGAGCAGGTACATTTGTATCCACCATCTTTGTTGAAACAGCTTCCATGTTGGCATGGTTTTCTGATGCATTCATTGATGTCTAATGATCAAGAAAGGTATAATCATCATTTATGAACAAAACCTTTTATCAAGGGAGAGAGAGAATTCGACAAAAGAAAAAATGATGAAATTAGAAAATCTATGCATTCAATGTAAATTCTAAGCTACATGGACAGATAAAATAAAAGAACCTACCTAACTGACAGTTCTTTCCAGTCCATCCAGGTGGGCAGGTACATTTGTATCCGCCATCTTGGTTCACACAGGTTCCATGTTTGCATGGGTTTCTGGTGCACTCATTGATGTCTGTGGGATGTAAGAAGACACATAGTACATATCATAAATCAATGTATCTTTAAAGTTTAAACCTCTAAGGTCAAAGCACAAAGGCGCAGAACAGCACAAAGGCGCAGAACGAGATTACCCTGCTGACAGTTCTGTCCAGTCCATCCAGGTGAGCAGGTACATTTGATTTGATTTATTGAAATTGCAACGATGCAACACACGCGGAACAGAGGCAGCTGTTGCTGGTGTTGTGTCCCGCACATAGAAACGAATACTGGACAGACAACACTCATTTTCACTTGAGTCTAGTGGGGAAAGTCGTGTAAAGTGCCTTTCCCAAGGGCACAAGATCGGTGGCATGTCAGGACTCGAACCCGGGACCTCTTGATTCCGAGTCGCGCACGCTGCCATTGAGCCACACGACCCCACGACGTATCATGAGGTACATTTGTAGCCACCATCTTTGTTTATACAGGTCCCATGTTTGCATGGGTTTCTGGCACACTCATTGATATCTGTTTGGTGTGAAAAGAACGCTTTAGAAAATTAATTGTAACACCAAACACTTGAGAACAGACCTAACCAAATGTTAACTGAACTTTACACAGACCTTTCTGACAGTTCTGACCAGTCCATCCAGGTGAGCAGGTACATTTGTATCCGCCATCTTTGTTCACACAACGTCCACGTTGGCATGGTTTTCTGATACACTCATTGATGTCTGTGGGATAAAGGAAGACGCATAGTACATTAAATAAAACCCAGCATATCTCTCAAGTTTAGGTGGTTGAGTTGTGACTATTCTTGAACATGGAACACTTTACGCTTTCCAAGGGCACAACGCAACATGGCAGGATTTGAACCCGGAACTTTATGGTTCTAGGCCGAACACTTTGTTGTTACGCCTCAGGTTAAAAAAAACAACCTTGCTGACAGTTCTGTCCAGTCCAGCCAGGTGAGCAGGTACAGGTGTATCCGGCATCTTTGTTCACACAGCTTCCATGTTGACAGGGTTCGTTGGAACACTCATTGATATCTGTAGAATAATGACAAATAGGACATATTAAGTATAACTCTATACCTCTAAAGTGAGTGACAAACTGTGTATAAAAAACCGTGTGCGTTAGCCCTTACCTGTTGTTGATAGAGGTGTGGTCATTGGTTTGATTCCAGGTGAATCGTTGGCTTTTGTAGATGGCTCAGTTGACTCCCCTCTCAAAGAAGAAGCGAACGAAGGCGAGTAAGAATCAGTAGTGATTTGTTCTTCCATGAACGTTGCCATCCATGGAGTAGCAGACTTCTTCGTGTTGACAAGAAACGAAGTGGTTTCCTTGTAGAAAATTGTTGACGCCCAGGCGCTGGAATTCGTCGGCTTCAAACCGAACAAACTGTCCTGTTTCAGAGCATCTTGCGCCTTCTGTTAACACATGTAACGTTTCGCTTAGTTATTTTATTGGAAATTTTGTAGCAACTGTATCCCCAAAGAACATTAGAACAGAGGACAAGGAGGAAAACTTGCATCTCACAAAATTGTGTGCACCAGGTACAGATTTTGATCTCTGAGTCTCTTTTTTTTATTGTTCATGTTCCGTTTTAGCATACCGTCGTTTTCATTTTATTCAATTGTCGGATAACCAGTTTGATTGGTGTGGCTTAAAATAGGGAGAAAGGCCTTGATATTAAAAAAAGAAGAAAATATCTTAAATGGCACAGCATCTTGATTTGTCAATTCTTGAATGTAAGCATATGTTGATGTGCATGCTACACAATAAAATTAGTACAGAATAATTAATATAGAAATTTAAGTTTTGTGCACACAATGTCTTTGAGCAAATACTTAGCAGTCCTGTCTATTGTTAGAATGTTTCCTACCTTACTTCCAGGTTGGATGAAAGATGGCAGGACTACAGCAATGACGACTGACACAATCACCAGGATTCCACAGCCCAGGAGGACCCAAAAAACCTTGCTGGATTTTGCCTTGTTCCACTTGTCAGTGATACGCTCTGGTGGTTCAACATATAATTGGTTTGATCGCGAATAGGTGAAGAAAAGCAACATAAAATATGAATAAATCTAATATTCCAAACCTGAGGAAAGCATATAATCCGTATTTTCCACCGACTGATGACGATATCACTTCAACAGCAATGTTACTAGTAACAATACAAAAAGATGGCTGGCTAATATCACACGTCCCTCACCACCCACAACTCTTGACAGCAGCCCAAGACAGGAGGGCCTGGCTATACCTCTTCTGCAGTCTGCCTTGTCCCCCCGACGACCAGTGTCGGTCATGGGACTAGGTAATTAGGTAGGTAATAAATAACATAGGCTGTAAAAACCAGCCTGAATGAAGTGGTATGCATTGGTTTAACTCAGGCGTACCTTTGAGGTTTAAGCTTTTTTCCTCATCATTTTCATCTGCATCAGTCTCCTGGGGTTTGTAGTATGGATCTGAGTAAGGCTCATCCTTTTGCTCTGGCCACATCACAATGTGGTCTCCCATATCGAGTTTGTGAGAAGGGGTAGCATCTGGAATAATTGAATGCGATAATTTCACCGGTGAAGCTTAGATCTGGGTCGGAACGAGCCGAGAATCCAAAACTCAATGTTTTGGCTATTAGTTGACTTAGCTAGATGTCATTTTTCATTTTGATGAGTATGAATGGAAATATAAAACAAGTATTTGTTTAGGAAGAAAGAATATTCCAGCGTTGGTGCCAATGGCTTTTAGTGGGCTAATGATATTAAATTTTTACAACCAGGTTCTAGATATGGATTGCAACGAGCCGAATGTCCTAAAACTAAAACTAAAACTAAAAAATCATGTTCAGGGTATGAATTAAAATTGCAGTGCCATTTCAAATCACTATGGGGTCCATCCCGGAATAAACATTGTCCTTCTTTTAGCCACCACCCCATTTACTGCATGAAAAAAGTGTCATAAACATCCATTTATGCTTTCTATAGGTATGCTAGCTGTCCTTAAACCGACATTTAAAAACAATCTAATTTATAGGAACTTCACATAAAGTGACTTCATCTTCAACCTTAATAACGGACACGGGTAAAAGAACAGCAATCGCTTTCGGAATCATTTACCTCCTTTGGAGGCGACGTACATCGCGTTTGGTATAGTCGCGGCGGCGTCCGCAAGTGACTCCAAATTAGTCTGGTCTTGCATCTTAGATGTGGCTGAAGAAAAATTGGAAAATGAGCAGTTCTACGTATACGGTGTATTCCACACGAATACAACACTGTGTAGTGTGTATCCCACCAGCCATTTTGTCATTTTGCCACACATTGAACCAACAAAAATACAGCCATATTCGTAGTCGATTCCAAATTGGCTTCTGTGATCTGCCAAACTGCACCTTTATTTTTGAATACAATTTAGACTTACAAAGCAAGCAATTGGGCAGCCTCCCCATATGCGGACAAATCTTCTAAATGTACAATTACAAGTTTTTCACAATTACAGTACGTCCTGGAAAGCACCGTAAATGGCAAAAACTAGCTTAAGTGCATTGTGAACTATGTAACACCTTCAGTGCAATGGGCACCAAGTAATACATGTATCTAGGGTCAGTGCACAGTAAACCAGTCAGAATTGCCCTGCATGATGAAGATGACAGACGGTCATTGAAACGTCGGCTCTTGAAAAATAAATGCAATATGCATAAAAAATGAAAACACACACACAGTGGAACTCATTGCCACCAATTTGGGGCACCCTCCCAATATAGGCTGTTTTAAACAGCATCTGCAGTTAGAAATGCCATTAGGCAACAGAGATTGGTCGTTTAGTGTAATGCGCGTAGGATACCTACCAATTGAGTTATCAACCTCGGGTTCAGATGCATGTTTAAAACACATTTTCCTATAACTATTCAAAGTGAAAAAGGATGCCACCATTTTTTCAGTGGGAGCACCCTCAGTGCACTAGATATTAAACAACCCCTCACAATACAAGATAGTTTTAAACAGCACATGCAGTTAGAAATGCCGTTAGACAACAGAGATTGGTCGTTTAGTGTAATGGCAAGCTGCTGCCACGCTGCGCGTAGGATACCACCTAATTGAGTTATCAACCTAGGATTCAAACATGTTTAAAACACATTTTCCTGGAACTATTCAAAGTGACAATCGATGCCAATATTTAGTCAGTGGTCAACTCGATCAACTCGGTTAACTCGGTCAACTACCCTGGTCAACTCGATCAACTCGGTCCACTACCCTGGTCAACTCGATCAACTCGGTCCACTACCCTGGTCAACTCGGTCAACTCGGTCAACTCGGTCAACTCGGTCCACTACCCTGGTCAACTCGATCAACTCGGTCAACTCGGTCAACTATGTCAACTCGAGTCAACTCGGTCAACTCGGTCCACTACCCTGGTCAACTCGGTCAACTCGATCAACTCGGTCAACTCGGTCAACTCGGTCAACTCGGTCCACTACCCTGGTCAACTCGATCAACTCGGTCCACTACCCTGGTCAACTCGGTCAACTCGGTCAACTCGGTCCACTACCCTGGTCAACTCGGTCAACTCGGTCCACTACCTTGGTCAACTCGGTCAACTCGGTCAACTCGGTCAACTCGGTCACCTCGGTCAACTCGGTCAACTCGGTCAACTCGGTCCATTACCCTGGTCAACTTGGTCAACTCGGTCCACTACCCTGGTCAACTCGGTCAACTCGGTCAACTCGGTCAACTACCTTGGTCAACTCGGTCAACTCGGTCAACTCGGTCCACTACCCTGGTCAACTCGGTCAACTCGATCAACTAAATCAACTCGGTCAACTCGGTCCACTACCCTGGTCAACTCGGTCAACTCGATCAACTCGGTCAACTCGGTCAACTCGGTCAACTCGGTCAACTCGGTCAGCTCGGTCAACTCGATCAACTCGGTCAACTCGGTCAACTCGGTCAACTCGGTCAACTCGGTCAACTCGGTCAACTCGGTCAACTCGGTCCACTACCCTGGTCAACTCGGTCAGCTCGTTCAACTCGTTCAACTCGGTCAACTCGGTCAACTCGGTCAACTCGGTCAACTCGGTCCACTACCCTGGTCAACTTGGTCAACTCGGTCCACTACCCTGGTCAACTCGGTCAACTCGGTCAACTCGGTCAACTACCTTGGTCAACTCGGTCAACTGGGTTAACTCGGTCCACTACCCTGGTCAAT